TGTTCCCTCTCTCACTGTCTCTCTCTCTCTGTCAAATAAATAAATAAAATCTTTAAAAAAAAAAAAAGAAAAGAAAAGAATCCCTGGCCTCTCCCGTCAGAAAGAACTCAGAAAAAACATATACCATCATTTTCACAGAAATCAGTATTTCTTACCTGGCAAATAGAAGCTAGAGAAAGGGTCTGATTCTGCCCCAACAATTATATTAGAAATCTGATCAATTACTCCTTCTTGAGCAAGGTACTGTCGTCCATGATGAGTATATGCCAGTGACGTCACCATTTCTATACAGGTGGCTCTGAAATGCCAAGATTTTGCATGTGGTTAACATAGTTTATAAACTGCTTTCATAGGCTATCTTACTGAATTCTTTTAATCTAAAAGGTCAGTAACCCTGGCTCTACTTTTCAGATGAGGACACAAGGATGAGAAAATTGCAATGATTTGTTCAGAATCACATTGTTATTACAAGGTAGAGTTTAGACTTAAACTTTGACCTTCTGACTTGAGGCCCGTTACTATTTCCACTATGATAGGGCTGCTTCCTAAAGAATTTTTTTTAATTTTTATTTTGAAATGTCACACATATACAAGAGTATAAGAGATCAGTGCAGTATGTCGCCATGTACCCATAATCCTGATTGCATAGCCATCATGATTTTGCCTTACATAAGATTTTTGACAAGATTTTGCTTTTCATCTTTTTCCCTCCATTTCTGCTGAATTATTTTAAAGCAAATTCTAGTCATCTAGCCATTTACCCCTGCATACTTCGGTATGCATCTCTAAAAACATGAATATTTCCTCACACAACTATAATGTCATTTCCACATATTTTAAAAATTGATAAAAATTCTTGGTATCAGGGACCTTTGGCTCCATTGGGCTTGTTGGCTCTTACTATTGCAGTGGTGACGCACTTCATCCTGTCTTTCTCAGACTCTTAACATCTGGAGGTCTTCCTACTCCTCTCAGCTCTTCCACCTAGATCCATAAGCCTGGGCCTTTCTTACAATCTCGCTCTTTTTTTTTTTTTTTCCGTCTACCCTCGACTCACCAACATGAGTGCAGATCCAGCTCTGCCCCAATGCCCGCCTGGCCCCAAAGCACCCAGTTCTAGGGACTCTTCTCCAATGCCTGAGATTTATGGGGCTGGAGAAAATTATGCGTCCCTGCAAATGTCATCTGCTGAGACACCCCACGCGGAGACTGTCTCTCCTCTTCCCTCATCCATGGATCTCCTTGTTCAGGACAGCCCCGACTCCTCCACCAGTCCCAGGATAAAACTACCACCCACTTCTGGAGAGGAGAGAACAGTGAAGAAGGAAGATATGGCCCAGGGCAAGAAACAGAAGATCAGGACCGTGTTCTCTCAGACCCAACTCCATGTCCTCAATGATCAATTTCAGAGACAGAAATACCTCAGTCTCCAGCAGATGCAAGAACTTGCCAACATTCTGAACCTTAGCTATAAGCAGGTGAAGACCTGGTTCCAGAACCAGAGAATGAAATGTAAGAGGTGGTAGAAAAACCACTGGCCAAAGGAGAGCAAGAGTGTGACTCAGAACAGCACAGCAACCGCAGAATACCCAGGCTTCTATTCCTACCACCAGGGATACCTGAGGAACACTTCCAGAAACCTTCCAATATGGAGCAACCAGACCTGGAATAACCCGAATTGGAGCAACCAGATCTGGAACAGCCAGTCTTGGAGCAACTCCTGGAATGGCCAGTCTTGGAGCAACCATTCCTGGACCAGTCAGACCTGGTGCCCCCAAGCCTGGAACAATCAGCTCCAGAACTGTGGAGAGGAATCCCTGCAGCCCCAGATCCAGTTCCAGCAAAATTCCATCAGCAATTTGGAGTCCATCTTAGAAACTTCCAGGGAGAGCCATAGCGTAATACAACAATCTGCTAAGTATTTTAGTACCCAGAAAATAATGGATTTGTTCCCAAATTACTCTGTGAACATACAGCCTGAAGATGTATGACGATGAGTATATTATTCGATCTCAATTTGGGCGGTGGCTGTATTACTTCTCCTAGGCTTTGTCTTTTAGGGTCCTATATATCTCTGCCTCGATATTCTGTTTCCCATTATTCTTATTGTGTCCGTTGAGGGGGTTTGATTGGAGTCAAAGAGGTTTCAGTAGCATTGGCTGCTATGGACAACATGATAAAAGGTGTTTCTGGCTATAGATAACTAGATACAATCCTAACGTGGATATCTTTAGGCTCTAGAATCTAACCTCAAGAATAGGAAGTGAAGATACAAAGACGTGTGATGAAGGATAATTTGTATTTTCTGAGATTGTGAGGCTTTTCTTGTTAATAACCTCAATTGTTAACGGTGAAGGGTTAAGCTATAATGTGCCTCATTGATTTCCTCTGTCCCTTGTGATGTTTTACTAGAACTGTTAATTTGTTCATTATTCTAGTATTTGTAGAAAGATGTTTTGTATTTTAATGTATCATGATAATAGTACCAGTCTGGCTGATTGGTTTATAGGTTTAAGTACAAATAAATAAAATACCCACTTAAAAAAAAAAATTCTTGGTATCAGGGCGACTAGGTGGCTCAGTCAGTTAAGCAGCTGACTTGATTTCAGCTCAGGTCATGATCTCAGCATCCTGGTTACTAAGTCCCAAAGCTGTTTCCTGGACCTCCAAAAAAAGACGTTTTAAGAGCTCTCTCAGCCAACATACCTGACCAGCACATCCTCCCCAGTCAACTCCCTGAGGAGCTGGGTTACCAATCCACTGGTGGTACAGTAGGTTAAAGATTCTGGTGACAGAGAAGAAATCTCCACAATTAACTGAAAGAAAAAGACAGAAAAAGCAAAAAGGTCAAAACAGCCCCAAATCTGTTAAATCTCATTTTTTTAATAGTTATTTAGATTTTTATAACCAAACAGGTTCTCTTGTCCTTTCTCAATTCTTCCAATGACAAGATGAAATGAAACCTCTTCTAACATAAGGAAGACTCTACTCTTTAAAGCTCCCTGGCCCAAGGCCTTTAATACTACTTCTTTTTTTTAATTAATTTTTTTATTATGTTCAGTTAGCTGCTGTATAGTACATCATTAGTTTTTGATGTAGTGTTCAATGATTCATTAGTTGCATATAACACCCCGTGCTCATCACAACACGTGCCCTCCTTAGTACCCATCACCCTGTTACCCCAATCCCCCCACCCCCCTCCCCTCTGAAACCCTCAGTTTGTTTCTCGGGGTCCATAGTCTCTCATGGTTCATCTTCATCTCTGATTTCTCCTCCTTCAGATTTCCCTCCCTTCCCCTATGGTCCTCAGTGCTATTTGTTTATGTTCCACATACGAGTGAAACCATATAATTGTCTTTCTCTGCTTGACTTACTTCACTTAGCACCCCTCCAGTTCCATCCATGTCGATGCAAATGGTGGGTACTTATCCTTTCTGATGGCTGAGTAATATTCCATTGTATATATGGACCACATCTTCTTTATCCATTCATCTGTTGAAGGGCATCTCAGCTCCTTCCACAGTTTGGCTATTGTGGACGCTGCTGCTATGAACATTGGGTGCAGGTGCCCCTTCTTTTCCCTACATCTGTATCTTTGGGGTAAATACCTAGTAGTACATTTGCTGGGTTGTAGGGAAGCTCTATTTTTAACATCTTGAGGAACCTCCATACTGCTTTCAAGAATGGCTGCACCAGCTTGCATTCCCACCAACAGTGTAAGAGGGTTCCCCTTTCTCAACATCCTCGCCAACATTTGTTGTTTCCTGTCTTGTTAATTTTTGCCATTCTAACTGGTAAGGTGGTATCTCATTGTGGTTTTGATTTGTATTTCCCTGATGGCTAGTGATGTTGAGCATTTTTTCATGTGTTAGGTCTCAGTTTAAATTAAACACAGGACTAGGCACATTATATAACTGAATTTTTAATTTTTAAAAAAATCCATTATCTGTCTCCATAAGAAGAAAAACTTCATTAACGCGTAAGAATTACTTTGGCACAGAAATACTCCATTGTATCTGATTGTATTTGTGTGTGTTTTTTTTTTTTAAGAAATCATCAATCAGGGTACAAAAGCCTAAATCAGCAAAAAGATGGTTAAAAATCATTCATTCATTCATTCATACATTCTATCAGTCAGTCATTCACTTACTCATTCCACAAGGTTGTCCTGAGGGCTTATGGAGATACAGGACATTGAAGGATTTTAAGCAGAGGAATGACAGAACCAGATTTGAATATTTAAAAGATCATTCTGACTACATCCAAAAATAGACTAGTGGTATCAAAAATGGATGGGAAGAGACCAGTCTGGATACAAATAGAATAGCCCAGGTGAGAGATACTGGTAGCTTAGACTAGGGTAGTGGTGGTTGTATCAAGGAAGAGAAGTGCATGGTTTAAGTAAAACTGACACCATATGGACCTAATGGATATGTGGCAGGGAGAACAAGGCCTCACAGAGAATGAGCCCAAGGTCTAATACCCAACCATGCTGACTATGATACAGGGCCAGTGTGTTGCTATTTTTGACTGGAGCACGGGCTGGGTAAGGAAGCTCAGGAGTTTGGTTTGAGCATGAGTGTGAGGGGCCTAGAATACATAGGTCTAAAGGGGGAACAGTGAGTAAGCCATTGGACATGAGGGTCTGGGCTCAGAAGAGAGGTCTGGGTTGGAGGTGTATGGAGTCATTCCATATAGATGGGAACTGAAATCATAAGATGAATAAAATTGCCTAGAAATGAATATACAGTGAGAACAGGGTTTGGGAATTCACCTTCATGAACTCCAACAATTCAACAGAGGATAATGAGCCAGGAGACTGAGAAGAAATAGCTAGAGAGGCAGAAGGGAAACCAGGAGAGCATGGTATTAAGACATGCAAAGTAAGAAAGTGTTGTGAACAGGGAATTAGACTGTCAACGATTCCATTTTGTATATGCAGCCTATTAACTGTATGGCCTGGGTCAGCTACTCCATCAATAGTGAGGTTAATGATGATCATGTACAGGGTTTACCATAAAAACTGAAGACAATATATGTGGAGATTTAGCACAATGGTAAGTACAAAGCGGGTACAAATGAGAGTCATTTCTTCATCTTACTACTGTAACTATTTCAAAGTCTAGTTGTTGTTTTTTTTTTAAAAGATTTTATTTTTATTTATTTGACAGAGAGAGACACAGCGAGAGAGGGAACACAAGCAGAGGGAGTGGGAGAGGGAGAAGCGGATTTCCCGTGGAGCAGGGAGCCCAATGCAGGGCTCGATCCCAGGACCCTGGGATTGTGACCTGAGCCGAAGGCAGACGCTTAATGACTGAGCCACCCAGGTGCCCCTCAAAGTCTAGTTTTAACATTATCTCCTTTATTATAGTACTTTATGTAGTGCACTGTAAATATTTTTTATATGACTGTCCCACATACTAGGCTGGGAGTTCACCCCCACATCCCCAGCATCTAATATAGGGCCTAACACACTCAATGAATACATGGTAAACAAGCCATCTTGCCTTCCAGTGTAAGCTCTACTGCATTCTGAATTGCAGGCATCAGAAAGTGTGCAGGGTGCCTGGGTGGCTCAGTTGTTAAGCGTCTGCCTTCAGCTCAGGTCATGATCCCAGGGTCCTGGGATCGAGCCCCACATCATGCTCCCTGCTCCGCGGGAAGCCTGCTTCTCCTTCTCCCACTCCCCCTGCTTGGGTTCCCTCTCTCGCTGTGTCTCTCTCTGTCAAATAAATAAATACTTTAAAAAAAAAAAAAAGAAAGTGTGCTTTTAGGGGCACCTGGCTGGCTCAGTTGGTTGAGTGTCCGACTCTTGATTTCGGCTCAAGTCATGATCTCAGGGTCATGAGATCGAGCCCTGAGTTGGGCTCCATGCTGAGCACGCAGGCTGCTTAAGATCTTCTCTTCCTCTCCCTCTGCCCTTCCCCTTGCACTCCTGCACTCTCTCTCTCTCAAACAAACAAAAAAAAGCGTGCTTTTAGTCTTACCTCATACACTCTGTATCGAACAATGTCATTTGTTTTCATTACCCTTTTCAAATCATCCAGCAGATTGCTTTCAAATAAAGCCTCCAGTCCAGCTTGGGTTAGTGATATTCTTGACAGGGACTTAATGGCCTTATAAGGAAAGAAAATACCTCTTAAATCATAAAAATGCAAAATATTAATATTTACTTCATGAGATTGATGTGAAATTAGTATGTGGAATGCATCTTGCACAATGAGCATTCACTATGTTTTAGGTATCACTATTTAAAACTGAAAAAGATACACAGTATTCCCACTAGAAAACAGATGATGTAAATTTTGTTTCTTATCAAGCAACCTAATATAAGCTCCATGATGGATAATTTAGATATGTGTATTCTAGAAAACAGAAAGGGTTTACTGGTATTTATTTGACACCATTTATTTATCTGATACCATCTATATGAGGTTACCAATTCAACTATACAAATCATCCATCCTAAACTTGCACCTCTCAATCCAGAAGGCCTTCTTTTGTTTTTTAGAATACTCTGTGTATTTAAGCTGATGGCTTTAGGTGACTCACCGCTTTAGCTACAGACAGATTGTCTCCACCAATACAATAAACAATCTGTTTTAATAATTCAGCATTATTTAGAATCTCAGTAACAGCATCAGAATTTTCAACAATTCTTCCGACCTGAAATAAAAAAGCAATCAGAAACTCCCTTAGTGTGCATTTATCTTAGGAGTTACTGATTACAGCTATAAGACAAGCCATTAAAAATTCCAAATGACCTAAATTCATTAAAGCTGAACATACTCATGGTATAGTCACATTATTGAAAAAAAAGAAAAAAATTAACGGTAAAGAACTGACACTTCAGTGAGAGAAGACAATACAAATTCTAGTTCTATCAATTTTTAGCTACACTGACCTTGGGCAAATTAACTAACTTCTTTGAACCTAATTTCTTATCTGTTAAATGAGAATACTACACTTAATTGCAGGATAGTTATGATGATTGAAGGAGACTAAACAGGAAAAGTATCTACTATGGTGTCTAGCACATAAATAGTCAGAGAATCAATCAATACTTTCTCCTTTTCTGTTGAATTAATACTTCCAGAGGAGAGAAGGAAAAACAGTACTTGAATGCCTACTAAGTAACTAACTGCTTGGGTCCTAACAACTTAACAAAATAATCCTCAGCAGCAGCTCTTCACCTAAATAGCAGAGTATTTTGGTTACTAGGGTTATAAGAGTTACTGTCTCAATTTCTTGGTTTAGTGACCTTTACAATAGTACTTTTTTCATGCCACTATAATAAGACCTAATATGGCAATTACTTTCTCTAGACAAGGAGCTCCCTGAAAGAAAGAAATAGGCTTTATTTATCTTGGTAGCTCTAACAGTATATGGTACAATGCCCGGCATGTAAAAGGAATTCAGTCAGTATTTGATGAATGAATATTTCAGACAATACTTATTAGAACTCCTTACTTTAGCTTGGATCCTCCTGGTTATAGTTAGCTATGCACACTAGAATAGACTAGATACTTCCTAGGCACAGAGAGAGATTCTGTTTTCTTCATCTCTCTATCTTTGGCACCCAACACAGAGCCTGGTCCAGAGCAGGTGGTCACTAAATGTCAGTTCCCTTATTATGTGCTAGTAAAACTTCATACCTGGGATAGAGTGAGAATTTTTACAGAATCATTGGGGTGAGTCAGTCCCCTCTGAAGGTCAGCCCCGAGGTTCCGGGCCACGTGAACTGGCTCCACAGCTTGGAGCAATCTCTCCAGAATGGATACACACAAAGCGATCTGTTCCCTAAAGGAGACATCATAGATCTCATTAGTTTGTGTCCTGCCACGTACATAGTAACAACCTATTAATATCTGAAGTCTGGCTCAATGAGGATCTTCTCCACACAGACTTCCCTTTAAAGTACTAACTTCGGGGGTGCCTGGGTGGCTCCGTTGGTTAAGTATCTGCTTTCGGCTCAGGTCATGATCTCTGGGTCTTGGGATCAAGCCCCATCCCCATGGCGGGCTCCCTGCTTCTCCCTCTCCCCCCTGCTCATGCTCTCTCTCTTGCTATCTCTCCCTCTCTCTCAAAAAATAAATAAAATCTTAAAAAAAAATACTAACTTCTACTAATTTACTAAACATTTACTAAGTACCCATTATGTGCCATGCCTGTGCTGGGGCTACAAAGAAGGATAATTCTCTAGCCTCAATGAGCTCAGTCTAATGGAAAATATAGAAGAACAGAAGGGCAACTATAATCAGGTGGATAAATGTTAGAGGTTAGGATTGGAAGCTATGGGAGCTCAAAAAAGAACGCAGGGATCAGGAAGCCCTCCCAGAGGGGTAATAGCTGAGCTAAATTTTAAGAAAAAGTGGGGATTATCTAGGAGGACAAAGGTGTTCCAGGTAGAACACATGAAGGGGAACAGAGGAATGAGGCAGTGTTATACATTCAAGGAAGTACAAGGAGCTCCATCTCACTGGGGTAAGAATGGGAGAGAACTGGGGAGAAGGTAAAAGGGGGGTATGAACGGGGAGCAATAAAAAAGGAAAGATGCACAGAAGACACATTCTGATGGGTCTTTTTTGTCATGCTACAGAATTCAGACTTTTTCCAGAAGGCAATGGCAAGCCACGAAGTGGTTTTAAGCAGAAAGTAACATGATGAGATCTGACTTGAGGAAGTCACTCTGCATCAGTTAGAGAAAGAATTTTTCAGTTAGAAGGCCGGTGATGAGGGAGTGAAACGAGGGAGTAGTAAGGAGGGATGGAGAAGAGAGAAAAGATTCAGGAGCAATTAAAGAGGTAAATTAATCAGAACTTGATGACTACCAGTTGTGGATACAGAAGATGTTTTAAGAATAACTTCCTTTTCTCTTAATGGGCAGTACAAGTAAACAGCCCAGGCACTCATATACGGTTAATAGGAGCATACAATTAAACTGATACAACTTTTCTAAAAGTTGATTAAGCAATACATAGCAAAAGCCTGAAAAATGAACATAACTTTTTTAACTTAGGGATTCCACTTTGTATAACTGCACCTAAGGGAATGATTAAGAATGTTTATTATACCCAAGATAACTGAAACCATATGTCCACACAAGAATTTGTACGTGGATGTTCATAGCAATAGAAACAACCCAAATGTCCCATCAATTAATGAATGGATAAACACAACCCAATTTTATCCATCCAATGGAATATTATACAACATGGATAAAATGTGGAAATATGCTAAGTGAAAGAAGCCAGACATAAAAAGCTTCCTTTTGATGATGATTCCATTTATATGAATGTCCAGAACAGACAAATCTATGGAGACAGAAAGCAAATTCCTGGTTGTCAGGGCTAGGGGAGGGACAGAGAGGAGGAAGGTGGAGGAAGGACTGTTAATGGATATGGATTTCTTTTCCTTTTTAAAAAAACTGTGACTGGATATACCATGGAATTTACCATTTTAACCATTTTTTAAATGTACAGTTCTGTGCATTAAAGTTCATTCACATTGTTGTGCAACCATCACCATCAACCATCTCTAGAACTTTTTCATCTTCCCAAATGGAAAACTCTGTATCTATTTTTTAAAGATTCATTTATTTATTTGCTAGAGAGAGTACGAGAGAGCATGGGCAGGGGGTAGGGGCAGAGAGAGAAGGAGAGGGAGAAGCAGACTCACCGCTGGGCAGGGAGCCCAACACGGGGCTGGATCCTAGGACACCAGGATCATGACCTGAGCCGAAGGCAGACACTTACCCAATGAGCCACTCTGGTGCCCCAAACTCTGTATCTGTTAAACAGTAACTTCCTATTCTCCCCTCCCCTGAGCCCCTAGCAACCACCATTCCACTTTCTCTCTTTCTAAATGTGACTACCCTTGGTGCCTCATCTAATTGGAATCATACAATATTGTCCTTTGTGACTGGCTTATTTCACTTAGAATGGTGTCTCCAAGTTTCCTCCACGTTGTAGCATGTGTTAGAAGTTCCTTTCTTTTTAAGGCTGAATAATACTCCATTGTATGTATATACCACACTTTATCTATTCATCTGCTGGTAGATACTTGAATTGCTTTGTTATTGTAATTTCAATTTGCATTTCCCTAATGACTAATGACACTGAGTATCTTTTTATGTGCTTATTCGCCATCCTTGTATCTTCTTGTTCAAATATTTTGCCCATTTTTAAATTGGATACTTTTCTTGTTTCTGAATTTTGAAAGCTCTTTATATATTCTGAATACAAGTCCTTTATCAGATACACTCTTTGCAAAGATTTTTCTCCATTTGTGACTTGCCTTTTTATTCTCTTAACTGTGGCCTTTGAAGAGCAGAGTAATTTTGATGAAGTCCAATTTATCAATTTTTCCTTCTATGGATCACGCTTTTGGTGTCACACCAAAGAAATCTTTGTTCAATCCAAGGTCATAAAAATTCTTTCCCAGGTTTTCTTCTAGAAGTTTTATAGTTTTAGGTTTTATATTTAGGCCTATAATCTCTCATACACTGTTGGTGGGAATGTAAAATGGTACAATTACTTTGGAAAACAGTTAGACAGTTTCTTAAAAAGTTAAATATATACCTGCCATATGATCTAGCCATTTCACTCCTAGGTATTAACTCAAAGAGAAAAGAATATGTCTGTGTAAAGACTTGTACACAAATGTTCATAGCAGTATTATTTGTAATAGAGTCAAACTGAAGACAGCTCAAATGTTCACCAGCAGGAAAACCGAAAACAAATGTGGTACATCTATACAAGGGACTACTATTCAGCAACAAAAAGGAATGAAGTATTCATCCACACCACATGGAAAAATTTAAAATAATTATGATGAGTGAAAGAGACCAGAGTACATACTATGGGATTCTGTTTATATAAAACTCTTTTTTTAAAAAAAGGCAAGGGCGCCTGGGTGGCTCAGTTGGTTAAGCGACTGCCTTCCGCTCAGGTCATGATCCTGGAGTCCCGGGATCGAGTCCCTCATCGGGCTCCCTGCTCGGCA